GGACGGCTTATGCTGCAATCAGGGAGAATGCATCTGGCTGGACTTCCGCTTATTGAAGGGATGTCTCGCTTCATCCGCGGGCAGGATTCGCGTCAGTGAAGTATGCGCTGATGCACATACCCACATATCCCTGTGGCTCCATTGGAACGCTTGTCTGCACGAAGAAGGCTGGCGTCGATGTGACAAAACCGCTGCGTCCCGTTGAGGAGATGCCGTTTGCGAAAGAGCTGAAGTACTACCACTCTGAAATGCACAAAGCCTCCTTCGTGCTGCCGCGCTTTGCCCAGCACATCAACAACCTGGAATAATTTGCAGGCCGTCTCAGATAACATGCACCACCTACCGAACGCCCTCTTGGAGGGCAGCGGGGGTAGAAGAAGAAAACGGAATGTGAGTTGATGGAAGTTACGTGTGTGGTGACAGGTTATTTCCAATTTATCTAGGGTCTTTTTTTTTTTGTATGTCTCTTTATCATTATTTTTTTATTGATTTTTTTTTGGTGTTGATTGAATTATTTTGTCTTTCCGATCATGCAACATTGGAACACAGCAAGCGTAAATTTTTCGGGGTTTTTTTTATGCGGAGTTTCCGGAGAGCTGTGGGTCCCTACCCAACCACCATCGCGCGGGTTCGTAACGGGTCCGGTTATGATACACGTGGCTTTTGAATTCATTTGTTTACTTTGTGTGTGCGTTGTAGAACTCTTTGCTTAATCGGGGTGTGAGATGCGTTCTGGTACAAAACGTTATCACCGATTATTGTGTTTGCTTCTAGTTGTTGTCGGAATATGATGGGAAAGTAACGGTCATTTTTGTCCTTGCTGTTGCCGTTTGCGTTGACTGCTACTGTGGTCTTTTGGGGTTTCTTTTTTGTTTCTTGTTGCTGCCGTCCTTTTTTTTTTATTGCTCCTTCTTCTTATTCTTATTCCGTGCATCGTGGCAGTTTGTTTTTTTCCCCCCTCATCCCCTGTCCCCGGGTGGGTTGGTGACCGCCGCAGATAATGCAACCGTCAGCGCTGGTGCAGACCGTGGCTTTGCACCGCGTGTGGCTTCCTCCCGCTGGTGGCAGTGATGATGGTGTAGAGGGTGAGTTGTCGTTGACTGCCGAGTTGGAGCCGATCATCGCCTTCACGGGGGCTGCAGGCGGCAGCAGCGAGGCGGGAGAGGGCATTATTGAGCAATCCGAGTCCCTTCGTGTGTTGCTGAGACGCTTCTGTGGACCGTTGTTGATGCGGCAGTCGAAGTTGGCGCCGCAGAGGCATGAGACGGGTGGGCGCGACTTGCACTGGGTGGGCTTCACGTCGCCCGTTGCGGAGGAGGGAATTTTCTTGCAGGTGCCGTCGCGCCAATTTATTGCTGCGTGCGTGCGTTTCGCCGTCAGCGGCGCGGCGATGGATGTGGTGCACTACAACAGCCTCGGGAGGCGCTGGCGCCGGGGGAGGGACCAGGCGGGCCCTGCCTGCGGGGGAAACTACGCTGCGGCCGACGAGGTCGGGGATGAGGGCTACATCTACGGCTTTGCGCAGTTTGTGGACGTGGGGCAAGCGACGGAGGGGCTGATACTTTCCGCCTTTTCCACCTCACCCTTATTTGACATGCTGCGCACGGTGGTGCTGGAAACGCTGCCGCACCTTTGTCGCGCCGCAAGGGATGCTTATGCCGATTGCCGCACGGCGTGGCCCGCGGAAAAGCAACGGATCATTTACGCCGTTTACGCTGACGTCATGGCGCCTCTAGCAGATCTCGTGGAACCGCGAAGTAAGGCATGCAGCACACCCGCTAACAACCGCTTTTGTCTGTCGTTTCCGCATGCAAGAACTTATGTTCTGCGCCCGGATAATTTGCACTACCCGTGGGTGAATGTCCCACTGCCTACCCTTTTTTTGAGTTTTTCGTACGATGCGCTGCGTGTTATCCACTCGCTCCTGTTGCAGGAGAGGCGAGTGGTTTTTATTGGAGCAACGCCGCAGCATGCCTCCGCATGCGTTGTAAGCGCCCAGGCGATGCTGTCGCCGTTTCTCTGGACGCTGCCGATTGTTCCGTATTTGCCACCCGAGGCGTGTGAAGTGCTTGAGGCACTTGGAGGTGCTGGGTTCATATTAGGATCCACAGCTGACATGGTGCCCCATCTGATGCTTCGCGGCAGTCTCGCTGACCCCCAACGGCGCTCCTGTGCGGGTGGGAAAGCCGCGGCAGTGGAAGAGGAGGATGGGGGGCGCATCTGGTTTGCGGATGGCCGTACCGGTATGATTGGTGTCTCCCCTCTCGACACCGACGTCGTGCCCTTCACCATGCTGGACCTGGTGCCTTTCAGCGAAAAGGTGAAGGAGGCGATGAAGCGGGTTGTTACCAAGGAAATGCGGCATTTGTTTCGTGCGACCCTCGCGTCCATGGCCACGCAGAGACGGGGAGGTGCCTCTCTGTGGTCTTCCACGCTCTCCCCATGTACAGCGGCAGCCGCGGTGGAGGAGGTGCATGGGGCGTTTCTCGAGTACAGCGTGGGGCGTCTGGTGGGAAACTACCGCAAGGGCTTAACGCCTATGAGTAGCGGCATTGGAGACGTTGGGGTGGGCGCGGCATGCAGTTCACACCTGCGGGACAGTGTCACGTTTCTGATTGATTACGCACGCTTTCTGCCGTGCAACCTCGACAACAACGCAAACCTCGCGCGACGCATCGCAGGCACGCAAATGTTTCATCACTGGGAGGATGCGGTCTTGTCCCTTGAGACAGTTGGCGTCTTGCGCCTCCTCTTTGGGGAGTTTGCGCACAGCCAGGGCGGCAGCACCACGTCGTCGCTGCACGGCAGAGAGACGCTCGCAATCGACCACTACGTTCCCCACCCGCGCATGATTGGGTTGTTGCGCCTCTTCTACGCTCGCTGCGCGCGGCGCTTCCCGGACCTGTACGGCGACCTACAGGGCAGCGATCTGGTGCGACGGAGCGCGAGCATCGCAACAGGAGGTACCCCCACCACCACCGCTTCAGTGACGGGTATTAGTAGTATTAGGACCAGCTGCCCCGTCACTGGCGGCAACGGCGGCAAGAAGTCCATGCGCGCGTTTTTTTCCAAGGCGACGAAGGCGGTGAAGAAAAGTCTTGCCCCACCCTGCAATCGACTTCCCGTGCAGGTATTTGTGCAGGCGTACGGTAGCTTTGCCAATAATATGGGTTACGTGAAGGACCCCAATAAGCCTGTTTTGCTGAACAAGGAGTTTAGGGACAACGCCTGCGCCGCTGCCAGCTTTACCACAACGCAGATTTCGGGTAGCTACTCGACGACACCATCATTGTCAGGCCCAACTGTAGCTTTTGATGTTGAGGATGATCTTTACGGAATCTCTTCGAACGTGTTTGGTGCCTACATCGAGGACAGGGACACGTTGCGCCGCCTCTCAACAAGCGTGGGGCCAACAGCCCCCACCGTTCAGTGCCGGCGACTGCCATTCGATGTTATCCATCAATTTGCCCGCTATCACACACTTCTGGACCCCAGAAAAGACTCGATGTGTACAACAGGCAGGCGTGCGGGCACGATGGCGGGGTCTTCTGTGGAGGAGTTAAGGCGTTTCCTGGAGTTTGGGCCACTCTTCGCGGCCGATTTGAGCATTTGGCCTGTCCTCGAATCCAAGCGACTGGCTCTGCTCAGCATGCCAGTGCCCCTACCCGAACAGCCGCCGCAACAGCAGCCCTTTCTGCCCTCCACAAACGGTGGCGATGCCAACCCGGGGGAAGTTCCGTTCCAGGCACTGCCTCTTCCCTTTTCGATGGATCTTGTCACGCGTCCAGTGGTGCTACCGCCCCTCCCAGATACCGTTGCTTTTCATGAAAGGCCAGACGATGGCACAGCTACAATGTATAACCAACCTGAGGCGCAAAGCTGCCAAAAATATGCAGCCGCAGTGGCTGGTGGTGGTAACGTCATGGATGATCTTTTTGCTTTTGCTGCACCGGGGTCCCAGTCTTCCGGCATGACGAATGTCCCCACGCGGCTGGAGGACTTCTTTCAGTAAAAATGGCGCCGCCTGGGTATGTCTTTTCGGGCGCCTGTCGCTTTTTTTTTTTTGTATTCAGAGGGTCACGCCCGACATCATTGTGCTCGATTGGATTCCTGTTGTTTGTTTATCATGTCAATCTTTATGTTAAGGCAAATGCCGTGTGATCCTCTTTCTCTTTCCTTGTCCCATTTCTACTCATTACGTCTCATTGGGCCGTGTTATTTTCTGGCTTTAGGGGGCCACCCTCACTCTTAAGAGAAGCAAGGGTGTTGAAGACTATAAACATGTTGCCACCACCACCACCGACTGTGAAGCAGGCACCGCCACCACCACCGCCACCGACTGTGAAGC